GGAAAAAAGAAGGAAAGGAAAGAAAAGTTACAATGTAATGGAAAAAAGTGAAAGAAAGAATTGATGATATGTGAGATATACGTCAAGAAAACAATACAATACATCCAACATCTGTCTGCACACCTGCAAAGAATTAAGGTAACAAAACTTAGCAAAAGCATACATACAGTATATACATTTAGACAGATAAATAGACAAACTTGTTTTTTTCACTACCCCCATGAATTTAAATACTATTGAGAACCTGATAATATTTAATTATTTGTCAAATCACTCAAATTTCATCAAATTTTACACAGGAGTAAATGTTGACCAAAATGTCAATATTTCCTCATATAAAACTGAAAAACTGAAGTGTCCCAGAGGATAAATAAAATAAAATWATTTTCCCCTCTGCCTTTTTGCAGTRTGTTGTGCATAGCTAAGCATTTAAGCAAAACAGTATTTTTATTTTTAATTTCTGTGCAGAGTAAGTTCCTTCTTCTGCTGGGTTAAACAGACAGCTTGTTGATTATTTTGAGCCACCTAGTGACTGGAGGGTTGTTTAATATTCAAGCAAGACACTACGGCTTTGTCTCAGATCAGTTCGTCCTCCTTTGTGCACATTCATTGACCGTTTATGTCACTGCCCCTCTCCTCATGGAGCTGACGAATGCGACCCACAAAATCCCAAAAATGAAGGCTGCATCTGTGTATTCTTCCAGGCCGAGGATGATTCTTTGCAGCATCAGAAAAAAAAGAAAATAATTAATAAAAAACAGAAAAACAAAGATGGCTGAGCCTTTTTTTTCTTTTACCAAGTTGATATAGAATAATTTGGTTTTAAGTGTAAGTTCAGCAACTTAACTGAAAAAAATTTATACTACAGTGAGATGTTAAATGAAACATTGGAGCTAAACCCAAATTATTAATGTTTTATTTATTTAAGGCACRTGATATAAAAYGTAACACCATGCTAACGAGGTAGTGCAAACATAAGCCAACCGAAGGCTAGACCGTCTTACTTCACAGASAATTTGTGCTGCAATCCCTGAATTAAGACGCAGCCTACGTCCTCCTGGCTCTCGAAGCCCCCCCTGACACCTCATCCTCGCCCCACTATTTGAGAAATACTGCATTAAGTCAAGTGTGAGCCGCTCACCCAAACACACAGATAAACTAGATACCGCATAGCAGTAACATAATTACCCCCAACATGCAGAAATGCACCGGAACTCAGAAGTCTTTATTCCTAATAAATGTCATGCTACCAGGGGCATCACAAAATTGTAGTGGTTTGGGTGGGGGTCTTTTATTTTTATTTTT